GAACGAAGAACGAAGAACGAAGAGAAGAAAGGAGCGACCTTCGAGCGCTGGATCGTGATTACGTGCTGCTTATATCGTAGCACATCGTCATGCTATATCCCGTTCTGCAGTCTATCGCGGAATCTGCCGAATCCACAGAAAAACCTGTTCAACTATGAGTAATATGTAACCGAGCTATAGGTATATAAAAATCTTCGATCTTCGAGCTTCGATCTTTCAATGTTCAAATGCAAGTGAGACACGATTGTTTAACTTGAACAGAAATTTCATTCAAAAAAAATTTACCGTGGCGGACATTGAACTCTTTCCATTTGATATCTACGATCAATCACGTTCTCGATAATATCGAAATGGATGAAAATTTTGATTTCAATTGCGTTGTGATAAGCGAAAACGAAATACAGTTTGCGTTGATTTGAAACGTTCGTTTCAATCGTTGACGCGACTGACTGAATAAATTCAGTCTCAAAAGTTTTATCTCAATCTTCGATGCGATAACTTATGATTTGGCCATAAAAGAGCAGGAGAGCTTCTCTCTCTCGCTGCGTTCTAAATAAACGTGTGTGTCTTCGACTGAAACGCAGTGCACGTTTTCAAGCTCGAGCAGCATCTTTTTTTGATTACTTTCGTAATCCACACGAGTTTAAGCGTAAATCTTCAGAAAAATTGCAGGAAGAGAAAAGGAGGGAAGCTCAAGGAAGGACGGTAGGAAAAAACGTGGAAAATATTTTATGCGAGAGACCGGGGGAGAGAAGAATACAGAATGGGAGCAAACAATGAATAAAGAAGAAAGAGAGAGAGAAAAAAAAGAAAAAAAAAGAAACGATGGTTAACGATGGTTTCGGTCGGTTGGTTTGGTTATTTTCCCATTCGTTGAATAGACCACTCTTGCTGGCATAATGGACAACGATTGTTTTGTTGAACCCAAAGTGACATGCAACAGTAGTGAAACGAATGATTGCATTCTCCCCAAACGACAACGCAGTCTTGACGGCTATCGTCCTTTTTGCTTTCCGCTTGACACCGAAGACACGCATCTGAAAATTAAAAATTAAATATATATATATATATATATGTATGTACTATCGAATAGGGAAGGAAAGAAAGTGGCATCTACGTGATATATCTCTTTTATTAATCCCATACGTGTCACACTGA